GGACCTCCTTTGCACAGTGGCAGTGGTTTTCCTCGTTGATGATCTGCAGGTTTTTTTTCCCCTTTGTCTACGAGATGATGAACCAATTACAGTCATAGCCTGCCAGAAAAGGCGCTTAGACCTTTGATCATAAAAAGATGAAGCAGGGTTCTGCTACTAACTTTCTTTAGTTTGGACACATCAGTTATTAACTTGTAAAGTGTGAGTTTCTGATTTCTCACTGAAATGTTGGCAGGCGTAGAGCAGAGGAGGAAGACGGTGGGTAGGTAAGCAAGGGGGGCTATGAGCTTAGCACCAAAAAAATGTTTTAGACCAGCAGTTTTCAACCTGTGGGCCACAACCCTCTCAGGGGTGGGGAGTGGCATTGAACAACCTTTTCCCGGGGGTCACAGATCAGATATTTACATCATGATCCATAACAGTGGCAAAATTACAGTTATGAAGTAGCAACAAAGTAATTTCATGGTCAGGGGTGGGGTCACCACAACATGAGAGACTGTATTAAAGGGTCGCAGCATTAAGAAGGTTGAGAACCGCTGTGTTAGACCCTTGTATTTGTTTTTTTTTAAAGCCCCTCAAAAGATGTTGCGTGCTTACACATTCACTGGCTCCTATCTGAGACTGGAGCCCTGAGCCTTTTGAGCGTAGTGCTCATAATATCCCGTATAATGCACTCGAAACAGCACTTCTCAGTCTTGGCTGCATCTGTGGCTCACCTAAGGAGCTTTTAGAAACGATCAAGGCCAAGCCCCACCAGAGAGATTCTGACTTAATTGGTCTGGGACGAGGCCCAGGCAAAGGTATTTTTAAAAGTCACTCCAGGTGTTTCCATATGCAGCCAGGATGGAGAACTACCGAGTTAGTGGCAGGAAAGCTGCTTCCCTCCCCCCACCCCCCAGTGATTTAAATAAATGCAATATATAGAAAGTTTTATAACCTACATTAATTCAAAAGAGGTTTGAAATGAATTCCTGCAAAGATTTTTTTTTAAGCCTTAAAAATTGTAATTAAATAAATGAAAATCTATACAAGACACCATTCTTCCCCAGTGGTAAAAAAAAAAAAAAAAAAGTTGAAATACTGATGCTACCTAGTAATGGCAAAAGGAGCCTGTGCAAATAGTGTTGCTGCTAGGACCTGCATCACAGTGAAAACCCCGCCAGGTTTCTGGGGGGCGATTTAGCAATATCCCTGCAGCTTTGTTACACCGTGTCTAGCAACTGCGCTGCTGTGAACTTCTTTGTAAAATGTCACCAGGATCTTAGGAACTGTTTTCATAAAACTTTTGCAGTGATGGGGGGCGGGGGGGGGAACCAAACGGTCCTCACTTGCAAGAGTGGTGGGGTAAAAGTTTGACACATTCATAACACATAAGGCTGGTGGACACTCAACATCTCTTTCATTGCCTCATGTGGAAATAAGCTTTCTAAGTAGACGAGACCAGGAAAAAAGCCAGTGTCGTTATTTGAATGTCTGACAGAATAGGCTATAAGCAAAAAAACAAAAAACAAAACAAAACTAACCAAGGGCCAGCAAGATGGCTCAGCAGGTAAAAGAGCTTGATGTCAAGCCTGATGACCTGTGTTCAACCCCTGGGATCAGACAGTTGAAGCAGAAAACCAACCCCAGCAAGTTGTCCTCTGACCGCCTTTGGCACACGCGCGTGTGAGTGCGCGCACACACACACAAACACAAACACGGTGGGGGGTGTTAGGAAATAAGTAAATAAAATGTAATTTTAAAGAGTATCCTGCTGGGTGGCAGTGCATCCTTTAATCCCACACCTTTATTCAGAGGCAGAGGCAGATGGATCTTTATAAGTCTGAGGCCAGCCTGGTCAATAGAAAAAGTTCGAGGTTAGCCAAGGCTACACAGAAAAACAAAACAAAACAACAAAAAATCTATTCTTCTACACATGCAAATATGGTAAGATTTCTGAGCTATTACTGTGTGGGAGAAAGGGTAAAATACTTTGTAGATTACAGTCGCCTGTGTTCATTTAAATAAATGTCTTTGTGTGTACATATTATGAGCACGTGTCCACATATGTCAAGGCCAGAAGTGGACACTGAATGTCTTCTTCAATCACTCTTACTAAGCTTTTGGAATACACTTCAAAACTCTACAAACCAGGCATCTATAGTTTCACTATAGTCAAACTGGTCCTCAACTGTAATGGGAAAAAGAAACACAGTTACCTGCACTCATTTTTTTTTCAATGGATATTTTTCTATCACCAACCAGGTCCTAGATACTCACGTGGCCACACAATACTGGTGTGTCTAAAGCCTTGGAGATAATCCATAGTGATCAATGGAGTTCTTAAAAATGACTAGCAGCCAAAAAAAAAAAAAAAAAAAGAAAGAAAAGAAAAGAAAAGAAAAAGAAAAGGAAAAAAGATAAAAGAAAAAAAGAAACAAAGGAAAAAAAATTCGTTGAAGAAATGTAGCAAGGATGGGAAATGGTGGCCAAGCAGCTTCTTTAGTTCTCAAGTGAAAAATCTTGAAGTCTGGTGTGAAGACATATTGCAGCCAATGGATGCGACACTCCCCCAAGCACCAATTTAGAAAAGCATTTTTAGGTGATAATTGGCTGTGCGAAACTCACATTTCCGTGCAAGGAAACCTCATATTTTTGGTGGAAGGAGCTGGAGAAGGGAGACGGGGAGGGCGGAAGTACGGAGGTGGAGGAGCAGCACCCCGGTCAAGGGGGCTCAGTAGCCCTGCTCCTGACGGGGTTGGGGGTCACCTTGCCTTTGGGGACTCAGCATCCCTCGACATTGAGTGGATGAGTTGGAAGCACTGGGGACGCAGGGCGAAGCTCCCCAACTACTCACCATGTGACCTCGATAAGCCACTTGGCCTCCCTAGGCTTTTGTTGCTTACTCTTTCAGAGACAGAAATTTTATGGTAGGAAGTGAGGAGGATCTGGGAGGAGCTGAGGGGGTGGGGAGCACGATCAAAGTATATTGCAGAACAATTCCAAATGGAAAATTAAATTAATTCTACCAAAACAGTGTCACAAAACTGCATTCTTAAAAGTGGCTAAAATGTAATTGTTTGTTTGTTTTTCTTTTTTCTTTTTCTTTTTTTTTTAAGACAGGATTTCTCTGTGTAGCCTTGGCTGACTGTCTTGGACTTGCTTTGTAGACCAGGCTGGCCTCGAACTCACAGAGATCCGCTTGACTCTGTTTCCCTGAGTGCTAGGACTAAAGGCATGCGCCATCACACCCGGCTATAAATGTAATTTTTATGTTATTTACATTTTGCTAACTGGATGATAATTTTTTAATTGAAAAAAAAAAAACAGATCTAATAAAATCGATGTTGGATCCTGTGTTTCTACTTTCCCTTTTACTCTTGGGAAAAGGTGCAAATTCCATAGCACAGCCACCTGTAAGAATGCAGATCTTGGGCAAAAAAGGGTTTTGTGTGACCTCTGTATATACATTAACAGTTTGAGTCATTCAAAATGGATCTGTTAGCCCCATTCTCAAGAGCCAGCCTCCTGAGATTCCACACAAGAAATGCTACATCAACCAACCAACAGGGGCTTCGCAAACAGGCATCCTGGGACCAGCGCCTCGATCCTGCTCCAAGGCAGCCCCGCTTCTCTATTTGATTTTTGGAGCTCCCATAATTTCATTCCTGGAGCTTCCTGGATCACCTGTCCAACCCCTGCACAAACATGAAAAAACGCTGCCATGCGGGGGCAAAGAGGTTTTCGTGCTCTCAGACACACCTGGAATGTTCAGCACACGGGGATGCTCCTTCCAGAGAAGGAATGCAAAACCTGTTTTCTGCCCAGAAGGCTGGAGCTGCTGTGCTTGCTAGCCTGGTGACCTTTGCCGGATATGTGTGACTTTCTGGCGCCCGGCCCTCCTCCAGACCCATTCTCAGAAGCTTGTTTTCCTCAGTCACTAGAAACCATCTTCACTGAAGCTATCACTTGTATTTTACAAAGGGTTTCACTGCAGTCGCATCTGATCCGTATTTAGCTTACTTTGTTCCGCAGAGAGATTTAGGAATCCTTTGTTGTGCTTGCACGATTGGGCTAATTGTCACAAGAATAGTTTTCACCAGACTGTGCTGTGTTTAAACCTAAAATAAACCAATCGGGATCAGACTCCTGAAATTTGCACCAACACTGGCTACTGAGTCGTGTATAATAATAACATTCCCACTATCGTGGTGTTGGGAACAACCACCGGACCCGTTTCTATACATACAAAGCTCAACCCACCTGAGGCGTGTGCCCAACCCCAGGATAGAAATGGGAGGTAAGAACTTGCTGACGCTAGAGAGCGCTACTTCTTGACCTCCTCTGTTTGATCTGTCTTGAATTCGCCCTCTTGCCCTACACCTTTGGTATCACGTATGCTTCTCCTCTTGGAACACCTGCTTCTCCTTACTACGGCACTTGTTATCTTGATTACTTTACAAAGCCTCTTTGTCTTCAGCCTGCAGCTTGGAAAACAACCTTCTAGAAACTTGCCCTCTAGTTCCTGAGTCCCGGTCTAAACGCTCTGATAAAATGGTGTGGAATTTGTCTGTGTGTGTGTGTGTGTATGTGTGTGTGTGTGTGTGTGTGTGTGTGTGTGTGTGTGTGTGTGCTGGACCTGGAGTACCAAAGCATGTGTGAGCATATCAAAGGCCAATTTGTGGGTCTCTTGGGTATAAGCAGGATGGCTGCCCTGCGCATCGCTAGGGATTCTCTGCATCCTATCTTCCATAGGAGTACTAGAATGGTAGGTATGTGCTACTCCTATCCAGGCTTCTGTGTGGGTTTTGGCTTCGCACGCTAGTCCTCACACTTCTCCAGCAAACGCTTTACACACATCTCCCAGCCCCTAAGCAGGATTTCAAGATGGAGCGGGGATCTTAGAATCTGTCTTCTGTTTTTCTTTTCCCAAGTAAACGTGCCAAAAATATATTCAAAATAAAAGATAAAGTACCTTGGGAGTAGAATAAAAATTTCTAACTCTGTTTCCTTATTTCTAGGGCTCAGAGGGAACTGGTTTCACCTTCTGAGTCTTTAGCGGACAGTCCTTCAACCGTGAGAGGAAATGTGGAGATTGCTCCTTAACCACACTGCCAGAAGCTACCTGTGGTCTTCACATCTGCCCATCGTCCTTCCTTCTCCCTTCCACCCATCCATCCTTCTTCCTTCCACCCATCCATCCTTCTGTCATTTAATTCAATCATTCACTACACACTTTATGATTCCTTGTTATAGTCAAGGCACTAAACCAGATTCAGGGAGTGGGGATCAATAGACTCTCAGAGTCGGTCATAGCATACTGAACACAACCACCCTGGGATGCCAGTAGAGCAAAGGTCAGTGATAGTCCAGCGTTACTTTAGAGAATTCTGCAGCTGTGACTTGGATTTTTCTTGTCAACTTCCGAGGTACAATAAGTGGATCATTTATGAGTCTGCAGATTCAGAAACTTTGAGAGCACTGTACTTCGAGGGGTAGACTATTCCAATTTATTGAGAACCAAGAAGGAGTGAGGACTCTGGCATGTGCCGCTTTCTTATAATAGACCACGGGGCTGTCCTATGCCTTCTACCTTGTAGCATTTTCTCTTAGGCATCAGAATATAAATGAGGAGCAGAAGATCACAACTGGAGGTTATTGTCAAGCAGCATGAATGAACAAGATGCCTACAGTGTCATGTCCAAGAAGTGGCGGCACATAGACAAACCTCGTCATCTGGCCGTAAAAGATGGGATGAGGGAAAATATCTACTCGCTGCCCTATGAAACAGCCCAAGAGTTAGAGCAGAGAAAGTCACCCATGGGAGGATGAGAAAACCGTAATTGATTTCTGTAGTCAGAAAGCTTTGCAAAAAACACTTCTGAGTAATGTCTAGTTTTATAATTGATTTTTCAGCTGGCAAATAAAGGAATTTTTTTTTCTTACATGTGTTCCAATTTTTCTGCAGGAAAGAATCAAATGCATTTGTTCCACAACTGGTATTTCTACATTCCTCCCTCCCCCCCCCAAAAAAAAAATAAAACCAAGATCTGGGAAGAAGATTCCTTGGGTCATGGGATGAAGTTTCTTGAGTCATCACTTCTCTCTGATAGTGGGACAAAGCTATAGGCTTCCTTTCCAGAAAAAAAAATGCACAAAAGTCCATAGGTATAGCATTTCCCACACAATTTCAGTAGATTAAAAAAACCTATTGAAACTTATCCATCCTCAGGGGCCTTTGCTCCAGGACATATGAAAAATGTATTTTGCTACAAACATTCTTGAGCTTTTAACTTCATTGATTGATGAGTCACCAAAAACATTGAACAGTTATTTTCAGACTAGAGGCTTATAGAAAAGCGCCAGTGGCTAAAGTTAATAGCTGCAGGAGCTGGGTACCGGGACAGCATCTAACTCCACAGCAGTATGAATACTCTTGCTCCTGGTAGAATGACCAGATGAGATATAGACATCCAGTTAAGTCTGAGTTTTTGCAGTTATTTTCTGCAAAAAAAGCAGAAAATAAACATATTTTAGTATCATTATGTCCCATGAAATTTGCCCAAGTATAAAATCATGTATTATTTATCTGGAATTCAAATTTAACTGACATCTTCTATTTCGAGTTGCTAAATCTGTTACATATATTCATGGTCAATTTATAAAGCCAAGTTCCCTACTGTATCTATGTGGTAGCTTCAGCAAAAATACCTGACACAGCGGTTTAAGAAAGGAAGGGTTGATTTTTGTACTCACAGTTCCAGGGGACTCCAGGTTCACTGAGAGAGATGTCTCGAGGGAATGAGGTGGGGGTGAGAGAGGAAGGCAACAACATTTCCCACTGAAGTTGGCATATGTAATACACACACACACACACACACACACACAGAAAAATATGAGAAAGAAAATGAAGTCAAATCTTCAGTGATTGGGATAGTGGCAGTAGTAGGACCAGTGAGCAGTTGAGACAATGTGTTTGGTTAAAACTTGTTTACTGGCATCTCTTGCAGCTAGAGCAGTCATATGGCAAATTATGGCCAATGAGGTATAAATGGAAGATTTCAGGGTGTTTTGTATTGTTAGCTTTCCTGCCACTTCTTCCTTCTTAATGCTTCTTTTTCCCATCTGGAGTTCAGAAATATGTCTGGTGTGATGGTAGAAGTCACCATGAGCTGATGAAGCATGAAAATAAGCATGAAAGTTATACACTAACAATGGTGGAGCAGAAAGGTAAAAGTGTGGGGTATTGACATTGGATGGACATTGTGATAGACTACCTGCCTGTCTTTGTCTTACTTCCTGTTGTTGTGATAAAGTGCTGTGACAGAAACAACTTCAGAGTTTACTTTGACACAGTTCAAGAGTACATATAGTCTATCATGACAGAAGTGCCGTGCTGGCAGAAGATTGAAGCAACTAGTCACCTTACACTCACAATCACAGTGAATGAATGTGTGCTGCTGCTCAGCTCCCCGTTTCCATTTATATAGTTCAGGATCCCAGCCAGGGAATGGTACCACCTGGTGTGGCTAGGTCTTTCTATCTCAATTAGCATATTAAAGACAACCCAACATGGGCATATGAGGAGACCCATTTCACAGATGATTCTAGAGCAAATCAGGCTGGCAATTAAGAGTAGCCATCACACTACCTAAATCTCTGTAAGTCTGGACTGACGGTTCTGATCCCAACAGCTGGGACTGTTGGTAGCTAAAACCCCTAGGCTATCAGCCCTCCCTGGGAATTGCCTTCAGCCGAAGACAGATACCCCACAGAAGACCCTGTGCCCCTTTCCTGGCAAGCAGCCCACAGTTCAATCATTGGTTATAAAAGCCTGCCCTTTCACCCCAGCAGAGAATGACTCTACAGGGTGGGCTTTGATAGTTTGAGGCCTTGGGACTATACCCTGCCTTGGTTCTGCACCCAATCCATTTGCTTTCCTTTGCCTCATGGGAGTTGATCTCAAAATCTCTCCATCATCAACTTCATGGCTGAGTCTACTTGCCAGGAACTCTTGACCTGCAGCCATGACCTTGTGAGGCTCCTACCCTACCTTAAGCCCCTCTCCAAACTTCTTCTCATGAGCCATAAGAGCTGGATCCCCTCCAATATCTGCCTGATATAGAGTAGTCCCCATATCCTCTGGGTTTAAAATTCTGAATTGAGGATTTGATTCATGACACAGCATGTGTTGCTGAAGTGAAACTTCAAGATTGACAGGGAAAAAATGATTCTTCTCTGATTCCTGCTTTGTTAAAACCAAGATGAAAAAAATATGTTCCCTAAAGCCATAGGAACGGATGGAGCCTTGATATGTCTCAGTAAAAAGGGATGTGAAGGATGTGCTCCACGAAGACGTGACTAGACTGAAACACAGATCATGGTGCCCTTTTTGAAAAGACAGATAGAAGAAAGCTCGGGAAGGGCTGGTCTAGAATGGGAAAGCTGTAGCAATGAGAACCCCATGCTCATGTGTGGGTTTGCACCCGTGTCTCCAGACTCCCCCGACATCACTAGCTCTAGAAAACCTCGGTGACTAGAGATACCGAATCAAAAGGACTTCATGAGGGTGAGCAAGATGATTCAGGGGGTGAAGGCATTGGCCTCCAAGCCAGGTGACCTGAATTCAATGCCTGGACCCTCATGGTAAGGAGAGAGCCCATTCCAGGAAGTTGTCCTCTGACCTCCACACATGCACTGTGGTACACACCCATGCCCTGTAACAAAACGAATACATGAAGCCCCCAAACATGAAGGCAGATGAAGTACTGAGAAGTGAATGAAAAGGAAAAAAAAATGGAAGAAAATGGTTTCTGCTTCTTCCCATTGAGTAAAAAGGAAAATAAAGTCAAGCGCGTCTCTGAGAAGCAGAGAACTGAATAAAATGAATAGTAGCTCAAATCAACATTGAATCCGTATAGCTCCAGACTACAGAAAACCCTACGCAGGGTCTGAATTAGATGTATCCCACTTGATGTTAGTCAAAGCAAGGTTAAAATATGGGGGGTGGCAAGGCAGTCTTACGACTGAATTGCTGCTTAGCAGTTGCATCCCTTCTGACAGATTATTACCTTCTGTCTTTGGGGTAACTGCAATTCAAGAACAAGCCAGTCAAGTTTCCAGCGTGGGAGGGGCGAGGAGCTCAGGAGGTAACTGAGTACTGTTGGCAGTTAATGGCTTCCGGGAGAAGAGAATCCTTCTTCTTTGGGGCTGTGGCTGCCTAGGTAAGTTGCTCCTGCTCTGGCGAATGTTCCTGCACTCAGGCACATATGGGTAGCCTTAGACTTAGTTTGGTTATTTAAAGAAAATTAAAAAGATGATATGAAGTTGGGAGAGGGACATATTGATGAGAATCTGGGGAGAACTAGAGGAGTAAATGAGGGCATCTATAATCATATTTCATCGCATGCGTTTATAAAATACTCCAAGAATACAATTTTTTTAAAGTTAAAATAAAACTTAAGAAGTACCGTTAGCGTCTCAAATCAGACAGCCATTGATGTGAAAATGAGAAGTGTACGCTGGGTCTACACAGCTTTTCAATTCAAAGTTATCTCCCTAAGCCATTCAAATCCAATAACTTCCTAGGCATTTGCTGGTCTTGAGACCGGGACCAGGGCAGGACAGTGCATCTGCTCATCACGAAGGTTCAGGCAGAAGCTGAGCTTCCGGTTGTAGTTGGATCAGCTGGACTCCCCAGCTTATCTTTCCCTTCCCACTTGTCATGCAGGGTTTACAGTGAGCCCAGCACCGTGGCCACAGTCCTTTAATTTAGTTGCTTCCTGATCAGTGCACATCATAACACTCGGGCAATTGTCTTAGTCTAGAGGATCATTCACAATCAGGAGAAAAGGTGGAAAAGGTAGATTTTCCGGATTTCTTTGAGTCTCCAAAGCATGGGGCCTCTCTTCCCGGAGAATGTGCAGCCTCTGTCTTGTCTTCTTGTAGCCTCCAGGCCTTACCACAGTGACTTACCTTACCAAAACCTGTGCTTCCCACATCTTTTCGTAGAGAGCAAGTGCCAATGTTCTGGAAAGGAGCTTCGATGATTTCAGGATAGGAGCCTGATCTATTTAGCTAAGAGCAATTCTGATTTGTAGGTGTGT